CGGGCTCATGGTTGAGGGTGTGTTGGGGCTTGGGGTTTATGGACCTTGGGTTGAGGGTGTTTGGGCTTGCGGTTTGGGGTTTGATTAGGGCTCAGGCCTGAGGGAATTAAGGTTTATGGTTTCGTGAGTTTAGTGTTTAGGGCTTGGGCTTTAGGACTTATTTAGGTTCAGGGCTTGGGGTTGAGCGTGTGAAGGTGTGGGGTTCCGGATGTTGCCAGTCCTACATCTGATGTGAGTTCTGCCTCCTCCGGCTGAGGCGTTACCCGTCAAGTTCCACAGCTGGGGAACTGAGCCAGCGGCACACCACCACATTTGGCGAGGCCTGCTTCGTTGGTTCTGGCCAAGCAAATGCCATTGGCACATGAGACGGAAAGGGAAAGGGAAAGGGAATAAGCACTAAATGATTTCATGAGGCCTGACATGCGCAAAAGCCCAAAGCAGACCGAAAACCCCCCACAAGCTCACTAGCTCCCTCGTGAGGGAAGCAGCCTGTGACGCACCTGAGGAGGGAAACGGGGACGACGGCAAGTCTATTCTGACACTTCGCTGCAGTACAGCTTGTTCCTGCAGAGCGCACGGTTTCAACGAGAACCCATGCTGCAATGAAGACATGACCCGTGGACAACACAGGGGCAACTGCCGGAAATGTGTGGCAGTCACAAGAATCTTTCCACAACAAGTCAACACATAGGGCAAACCTGAAAGCAAGTGACCAGCCTGCGCAAGCTTGGTGAAGGGCCCGGAGTTCATTCAGGGTCCTACCGACTGCATCCACCTGATCACCGCTGTTCGCCTTGACAGGACGGGGTGGACAAGGGTAAGGGCAAGGGCCGGGGCCACCGAGAGGCCTGGAGCCTCGGATGCAAGCAGATCAAGCAGCACTCTTGCGATACTTCAAGAGCTGAAGCAACTCCCGATGTGTCATCACCCTACCATCCTTACAAAACTAGGTAGGCCCTTGGGACATTTTATATTTTCCCTTATTGGGTTTAAGAGGATCATATTCAGGAATGTTTTTCAGAGGGTTTTATGCCATTCTACATAAGTGTCACGTGAAAGCTTCCCAAGATGCCCCAATGATTCCAACGAGTTTATCCCGCTTCCAGGATGTCTTGAAGAGGTTGCATCCTGAGATCCTTCACCACCGCCGTCCGACAAGAACTCCCCTGGGAGGATTGCTCGTAGCAACTAGGGTTTAGGGCTTAGGGCTTAGGACTTGGGGTTTAGGCTTTAGTAGTAACTAGAGTGCTACTTGTTCCCGACAGCCTCGACAACTCCGGAGGGCGGTGGTGGTGTTTGCTTGCATTCAGTCGGCTGGATGCCTCAGTGGCCAAGGTCGCGGGGTATGTGCGCCTGAGCCCTTCGCAGGGACGCCGCGAAGCGGACTGGCCCAAAAAGCTTGGCGCGGCAGTTTCGCAGTTTTTGTTGTGCAGGCAGGGTGTCTAGCATCATTCCCCAAACCCTATGGAGACTGAGTCAGAACTCCTCCAGAACTCATAGTTCTAGAGACTAGCCCCCGAAACCCTTGCGATGTTGGAGAAACTGGGATTTAACCTCTGAGTCCCCACTCATGGGTTTAGGGTTTCTAGGGTGTATAAACTCCTGAGCCTTGTCCCCTGAACCCCTGAACCATGGACCCTAGCCCCCTGAATCTTTGAACCCAGACTCTAAATCCTCAAGTTGCACACCTTGAGGCCTCAATTCGACCCCAAGCCTTAACCCTTTCCCCCAAACCCAGACCCGAATTCTTAAACCCTAAGCTTCTAAACCCTGAACCCCAAATTAAGCCCTAAACCCCAACAGGTTCTCACCCTAAACCCTAAACCCTAAACCCTAAACCACGAAATCCATCCATCCTACGACCACACGTCCTCTGCAGCCGGCGCCAGATCACCAGCATCACCGTGATCGGCGGAGATGGGGGGTCAGCGCCCAGCAGCGTCAAGCCTTGGGCTTGGTTAGGATTTAGGGTTTAGGGTTTAGGGTTTAGGGTTTAGGGTTTAGGGTTTAGGGTTTAGGGTTTAGGGTTTAGGGTTTAGGGTTTAGGGTTTAGGGTTTAGGTTTAGGGTTTAGGGTTTAGGGTTTAGGGTTTAGGGTTTAGGGTTAGAGGCCTCTAGGGTTTCGGGTGTTTCGCGCTGAAAGCTTCACATTGTATTTTCTGAATCGTTGCCGCTAAGGCTGTATATCAACCGTGAAGACTTGGACTTCACTTCAGTTGGTGACATCGAGCCCACACAGGCCAAGCGTCCCGACAGCACCGGCAACTGTCAGCATGTACCTTGTGCCTCGGCCCCTAAACCCTAAACCCTAAACCCTAAACCCTAAACCCTAAACCCTAAACCCTAAACCCTAAACCCTAAACCCTAAACCCTAAACCTCTCAACTCCAGGAGGTTGACTTGGTGGAGGACTTTCATGGGGCCGTGCTGGCCTCACGTTTGTCATCGCAGCCGGCCAGTAGCAGCGGGTCCTTGGGGACGAAATGAACCCTAAAAGGGTTTATGGTTCATATACCTTAATAGGAGTTATAGTAGTATAGGGTATATGGCCGCAATTTTAGGGTTCATTTCGTCCCCAAGGGTTTGGAGCGTGCTCTGACCCAGATTCAATTCCCGCTGCGCGCTGCGAAGTTTCTGTCCGGGGCTTAAACTGCCAAGCAGCTCATCCGAGTGTGAAGAAGCTCGGGCAGTTACTTTCATGATGAGGTCTGTCACATGTGTGAGCCTCTACTTTCCGCACAGCCCCGACCCAAGAGATGGAGTTAATCTGCTTTAAGTGCTGATGGCAGATAGCAGTTAACATGCACATGGACTCTGAGGTTTCAGAGGAGAACGAACGCGGATCCACTGGATTGGCCTTTGGGGCGTTGGATCCGAGCACAAGCGTCAGGCGCCTTTCGTCAGCCATTGGCTTGTCACGCAGTTCCTGTCCTTGACTTGAAGCGGAAATGAACTTGCCGAGCCAGTAGCGGTGTTTCTGCCGACAAGATTGGGGGATGACGTTTGTGCCTTGGCCTAGCCAGGCGGTGATGACCGTCTATGAGGCAGGGGCTTCTCAGAATCACTTGCGCACCTGAAGCCCGAAGTGAAAAAACTCTCCTGAGAGCGCTGCGAAGGCCATAGGCAATGCCAAAGATAACGATGTGAAGGACGATGCCCTGCGCCCAGGTGTAATGCAAGATGGTGGGAGGGTCTGTTGTCACATTGTTAGCCAGCACGAGACGATGGAGAGGAGCGATGCGCGTCCAGTGTTGCTAAGCACATCATGACCCCAGGTCCTACCAACGATGGACGCTGCCTGAATAGTGTACTGGGCGCTTGCCACAAGAGCAACGAGAGCCCGCAGGATAGACCTTAAGCCTCCTGACATGATTGACATGACATGATGTGCGAGAAAGAGCCGGCCAGTCGTGCCCATGACTTCCATGTCATCCTAAAGTCTTGCTGAGTGCTTTGAAGTGCCGTGCGGCTCAAAGAGTTTCCCCCCAACAGCTTGAAGGAGAGGGAACACCCGTGCACAAACTTGCAGAAGCTGTGGTCGGAAGCATCTTAGGTACATCGTGCCACCCAGAGTAATTAGCAGTCAGTTCAGTTGCCTTGCTTCACCGTGCTAGGCATGCGCCTCATCAATTCCGGGATGTTTGTGGTAATGAAGCAGGACTTCGGGACGATGACACGGCGGCAGTACCAACTGCCAAGCATGAGTAATCATGTGTAAGCGTCTCAGGTCGCTCTGTCATAAGCCCTAATCAGGTTCGATGGGTGGCTGTCCAAAGTTTGAAGCTGAGATGCCGCCCTAAGTTGCCGCCATGCCGGCAGAAGAGCTAATGCTTGCAGGCGAAGCTCCTCTGAGGAGCACTGCAGTCTCCACATGAGGTTTTTTTTTTTTTTTGCGTTATTCGGGTTGGGATACGCGTGCGAGAGAGGGAGAGGGAGAGAGGGAGAGAGAGAGCGCGCGTGGCATGCAAATGGAAGCCTTTGTTGAAGAAATGAGCACCTCTTATGAGGTACCCAACAAACGACCATGGGTTGGAACACTGCCAAGTATCAAAGACGGTTCAAGGCGCAGGGTGTTTGCAGAAACTCGGCAGGAGGAGTCCTGCATGGGATCCCTGGCAAAGCAATGCCGACACTTGCCCTGGCCGGATGCTGTAGCGTGGCGCAGCATTGGACATACCCCAAGCCCTCTAAATCTTACAAAACCACAGAGAGCCTCAGAAGCACCCCGAAACCCTGAACCCCTAGTTATAGGCTCTCAACCATCAATCCCAAAAGGCCCTGAACTTTAGCAACCCGAGATTCCAAAAGTCGTGGTCCCTTACAGCCAGGTGCGGCTCTTGGAGCGGTCTCTGGCAAAGGCAGCCCCAAACCTTGCGCTTCACACGTCGGCGCGGCCCTTGGGGTGTAGGGTTTAGGGTTTAGGGTTTAGGGTTTAGGGGTTCACGGCTTAGGGCGGCTTCTGGGCAGATAGGGCTGAGGGTTTAGGGATTCAGGGTTACGGCTTTATAGGGTGGGCGTAGTTGTTTTGGACCCTTCTTGAAAATCTTCAAGGTTGTAAGCTTTATGCGAGGCTTGTAGTACTTGTAGGGCTTCAGGGAAGATCTCTTGGGGTTTAGGGTTTGAACTTTAATTGGGTGGAGGGTTAACGTTCACAGGGTGTGGGGCGTAGAGGGTTTAGGCTTGACAGTACTAAGCTTTTTAGGCGGTTTAGGGCTGTAGAAGGACGCCCTGGAACCAATATCCACCAGGATGGAAGCGGTTTAAGGAGATTTTGTTCAGAGTGATCCCGAAGCCCTCAACCCTGAACCCTAAACCCTGGACCGCCTTCGGAGTGATTCAGGTGAAGTCCCAGGTTTTCGGTGCTCACTGCAATGCTTTTAGGCGTAGGGTTTAGGCCACAAGTTGCCCCGAGGTCATTGCGGCTTGCGGAAGGGGCTCAAACTGGCCACTCGCGATCGCTCTGCTGCAGGATGCCCGATGCGACTTTGGCTGGACCCTAAACCCTAAACCCTAGACCCGAGACCCTAAACCCTAAACCCTAACCCCTAAACCCCTAACCCCTAAACCCTAAACCCTAGACCCTAACCATAAACCCTAAACCCTAAAGGCCTGAGAATTCATAAAGCTGAAAATGGACATCCCAGGTCGCCAGCTGCGCCCCGATGTGCCAGCCCTGAACGCCGTGTTGACCGCCTTGGGCCGTGCAGGCCGCTGGCGCGAGGCACATGGTGGTTTTCGCTATTCTACTATGGGCTCAAGAACCCACAAAAAACAAAAACACAAATGAAAACCCTGTGTATTGCCCTCATAAGGAGGATTATTTCTTATTTTTTGGGGGGTGCTGAAGCAATGCCTTATTGGGGTCCTGATGATAAGGGAATTTGTTGGTTGGTTCTTAAGCAAGTAGCAGCTACAGCGTGACCATTCATGAAACACTAGGAGCTGCCGGTATGCCAAACCCTAAACCCTAAACCCTAAACCCTAAACCCTAAACCCTAGTACAAGGATGAATTGACAATCATGTCGCGTATTGAAACCCTTGAGCCCCCCAACCGTTCAACTCCAGGCTGGGGAGTTGCTGGACACGGCGACATCCTGGTGCGCCCTAGGGCCCTAGGGTTTAGGGTGCGCCCTCCCGTATAACATCCGTCTGCTTACAGGGTTAGGGCAATTGTAAGAATACCGTTCCCTTCATTTCCTTTCGCACCAACCTCAACTAATGCTGTTTTGTTCCACTCGAGGCACTTGGCTTGGATGGTTGGGGGTCATGAATTATGGATCTGCGTGGCACGCCATCTGCAATGATCGTACTGAAAAATAAGCCGCAAAACCGAATGTGGTAGTTATTCCTTTCTTACTTCTGAATCCCTTCCAGCTGAATTCTGGGTTTCCATCCGCATCCTTCGCAAGGGTTCCCAAGTGAGGGTGTTGTGGAAATGCCAGACGCCAAAGAGGATTCAGCTTTTATTCTAGGCGTGCCTGCGAGGTACCTCCAGCCATCTGTCGTTTCATTCGGCGCCTTGCTTGACGCATCTCAACATGCGCTTGGCCGGTGGTTCAACTGTGTTTTTATACAGTATTGGCTGCTGTTGCCATTGAACTTCTGCAAATCTGCAAGAACAGTCATTGCTGATGCTCAGCAAAGTGGGAGCCATGCTTTGAGAATGTAAACAAGCACAAGTCACATGTGCGCACAAGCATGCATGCAGTCCCACCCACTCACCGTCACTCACCCACCACCCACTCACCCCCCCCCCCCCCCCCCACCGGCGCACCCACACCAACAAACAAAAGTCAAACACCATTATCACAAAGCACTCACAGACAAACTACAAATCACAACAAATCACAAAACAAACACAAAAACAACCTCAAAAGTCACACACATCCACACACACACACACACACAAACGCAGCCGCCGCAAGTGCAAATGCACACAACACAGCCGACCGCAGGAAAGGTTAGTACCGTAAAATTTTTGCTGCACCCATCATTTCACAACAGCTTGCGCATGTGTGTCAAGCATTAATTACATACTTGCATGTCAGATTGGTCAGCCGACAAGTACCCGACAGTGGCCAGCGGATCAAGGAAGCTTGTCAAACCCTTTGCGTGTCCAACACGTGTGGTGTCCCTTTGCTGCCACGGTGTCCGTGTCCACGGCAAGCTCTTTTCCCTGCAAACAAAGGCTCAGCCGAAAACGAAACCCCAAAATCCCGAAGCACCAAACCCATTGCTCTCAACTCACTGGGCCTTAGATCTATTATGTACCCTATATTTGGCTGAAGCGGAACAGAATTTTGATGTTTAGATATCTGGCTACCCCCAAGGCACTGCTATCTCGCGAAAGGGACGAACCCCACTCAGGGCCTTGCTCGGGCCACCCGCTGGCAACAAGCACTGTGCGTCCTGGATGACGACAACGCGCACCCCGGCCAGCAGAGGACGGTTTCTGATTTTTGCGCTGGTGCGTTTACAAGGTTTGCTACCCCCGGAGAATCCCGCACAGTATCCCAGCACAGAATCGTGCTGAGAACTGCGCAGATTATCCCTGAAATGCCCGAGAGAATCCCGCAAGGCACCGCATCCCGCGAGTGTGCCGAATCTCAAAAAGTGCCCACGGGACCCTCTGCAGCGCATCCCTGGAGCGCGAACTCATACAGATTCAGGGGGGGTGTCGTTCGAAGCAAATAGCGGAGTTAGCATGTTGAGCGGACTGTCACACATCCCAGTAAGTTGAAGCTTTGTGGACCCATCCGAAGTTGCAGCAGGATTCATATGAAGATGCTGCTCCGCACAGTCCCAGAACCCGTGGTGCACCACACCTGCAAGCGACACGTTAAGGCAAGTCGGCCGAATTGCTTTCAACTCCACCCTCACTGCCTGTGCTCCTTGCCTGAAGTTAGTCGAGGGTGTGTTCCTATGATTGTCATTATGATTAGTAATTCTTATTAAAGGGCTCAAAAGAGCCTTGCCGAACTTGCTGAAATGGAGCGAAGTGCAGAGGCTGCAGCGAAGTAGGGCAACTCAAGCCAAGCACCTCAGGAGCGAGCATTTGAGTGGTCGCAAGCGCTGCACCTGCTGCACGAGATGCAGCAGCTCCTTTGTCTACAGAGCGCCTCCGTCATTCCCTACTAAGAACCACCAGGTTTGGGGTTTAGCATTTAGGTTTTTCGTTGAGAGGGGTCCAGAGTTTGAATTATGGGGCTTGGGAACCAGCTGCATCAACATGAAGTATTGCAAGCTTGATTGCAATACTGCTCGTGCTGATCGCTTGTAGTGATACCAGTCCATAGCAATCATAATATTGCTTGTCGGGTAGGCTGCCTTGAAGGTCTTCACCAAGACGATTTCAGCATGGTCGTTCTGAAGCCGGTTTACACAGCCATGCATCCTTCATCATCAGACTAGGGTGTTTCTGTTTTCTGAAAGTTGTCTTTATTTCAGCGCTTCGCCCGCGCCAAGTCTGAGCAATTAGCCCCCGGGCAGTGTCGTGCATCTTGCGCATGATACTTGAAAGCATTGTTCAGACAATGACACGAGGCAACCAGTTGTGAACGCAAGAACCGGTGTGATCGTCATGGCCTATCATGCTTGCCTTCCACCCTGCCGGCCTCCGCTTGGGTCAGTCAAGCTTGCCTCCACCCACCCTCTCCGGCGGCCTTCGCTTGGGGCAGTCAAGCCAGCCTCCAGCCTGCTTCTCCCTTACGCCGCACGTCATGTTCTAGCGTCGGCAGCAGGCCTTGCAGTCCGACGATGGGGCAGATGTCGCAAGCAAAGCGCGGCTGCATCACCTGCATTGCATAATACTTCTGTCGGTCGAGCCTGGATTTGCAAGAAAGATATTGCAGAGATTTTCAGCCATGTAGGCGGCGTCCAGTTCGACTTGCTCGAAGAGGAGGTCTCCTTGGACCCACATGATGAAGACAATAATTACATGTACTCATGTTTTCGATCAAGGAGCGGTGGCCGTCTTACCCGTGAGATTGTGGACGAAGATTTCGTTCTTGTTGGAGATGACAAATGTGGCTTGTCAGCAGTTTTCGATGTACAAGTGCCTCCGGGAGCAACCTTGTCAGTACAAATGAGCACATGGGTCAACCCCCGCCACAGCGGATTCGGCGTGGAGGAATCGTCATGCTTCGGGGTTGGAATGGTCCCATACGGATGTGGCAAGGTGCAAGAGTGGCTTCGTGACGAATTCCAAACCTGCATTGAAGATGGCGTACAGTACTACTGTGCCTTTGCTTGGGAAGAGCAGAAGTCTGATGACAGAAAGGGTCCCGGTAGCTTGGGAGGACTGGCGGGCTTGCTTGAGCTTGCTCGTCGCTCACCTGACTCCATGATGCGGTATACTCTGGATGTTGTGCAAGGAGGATCCAGCATTCACCATTCCAAGCAAACAAAGCTGAGCTTGGAGATGATCGACGTAAGACTCCGTCGTGATGCATCCGGGGAGACTGAGCTTAGTTTCGCGCATGGAGCAGAAGTGTTCAAGGTCAAACGTCCAGCACAAGATGCACATATGCAGCTTTACTTCAATTGCCTTGGCTGGGCAGACAACATGACGTACGTTCAGATACACAAGGTCGCCTACGATCCGCCGCTTTGTGACAGGAATGCCTCCGAAAGGGGCAGTGGCTCAAAGAAGCGAGCAAGTGAGGAGGACTTTCCCGATTATTCCAAAATCTTGAGAGCCGATCCGCAGCTACGCAAGCAAGTTGACGAGTTGATCAAAAACTCAAGCAGCAGTAGATAGTTTGGCTTCTCGATGGATGGCACTACAAGGCATGAAAAGGCTCAGGACTGCGGTAGCGTTCATCTGTGCTGTACACCATGTCTATCACCTCAGCCTATTCCTTAACCCCGAGCCCCACACGCACATTCGCAGGCGATGATCCCGTATGTGTGTTTCTCGAAAATGCTCTAGAAACCTTTGACAAGCCATGTACCTTAAGACTGAAAAGCCATTCTGCAAAGCACAGCCGGCCGGACCTCGCATCTTCACCAGCAACCCTAAACCCTAAACCCTCAACCCTAAACCCTAAACCCTAAATCCGAACCCCTGAAGCCAAGCCAGGTTCGGCCCGCAACCGGACATCATCAGTGTGAATGCCGTGCTGGCGGCCTGCGCCGTGCGGTGGCAGTATGCCCTGCACATTTTCGCGTCCCTGGGCTCGGGGGATCTTCAGCCGACACTTAGCTGCGAAACTTCATGGGCTCTGCCCACTGGGATGCGTAGGCAGCGGCCCGGGGCTTGTCGATAAATGCAGAGCCTTTCCCAGGAGCATCGTGACCCTGAACTCTTTGATGAATGCCTGCGCCAATGGCCTGCAATGGCAAATTGCCATCGACCTCTGGCAAGGCCAGGGGGGGGGCTCGGGTGGGTATAATAGCTGGGGGTGCAGGAGCTACGTGCTGAAGTGTCGATAGTTGAGATTGCCCAAACCCTCTAAACTCTAAATCGTAGTATGGCTATTTGCAAAAAATAGGGACACCCCCTGGGGGTACCCCCCATATACCCCCGACAAACTCCTTAAGCAAACAATTCGGAATCTCGAGCAACGCTGTTTTCCCCTCCCCTCCCCCCCTCCCCCCCTTCCCCCCGAACATTCCAACAGTTGGACAGGGTTGCCGTCTCGCCTTCGACCCACGGAAGCCACCATCGGCGCGCTCCTCGCCTCCTGCTCAGCTGGACTGCCCAATTCATTATCTCGTCTTGAGGCGCTGGTGCCCTGAGGGTTTAGGGTTAGGGTTTAGAGTTGAGGGCTTGCTGTGATATGGCGCAGAAGCTGCGAGTGTCAGGTCCCGGAATAGCCTCGAAGGCTCTGGAATGTGCGAAGAGTATCTATGGCCCGACTGTGGAGGGCCATCTAACATTCTGTTCACGCACTCCACACCGTCTAAGGCGGCAAAGCCACCCTCACCTTTTGCTTGTGGGGTTTAGGCCTTAAATGACTCCCTTTTCCAGCAGCCTGTTTCGTATTTTCCTAAACCCTATTCCCTGTAGGTGTTCGGCCTAACTTTCTTTTAAAGCGGGCTGTTTCCTTACCGGCTCCCAGGAGCTTGGGGCTCCTGGGTACCTCCTGCCCCCCTTTCCTTTGAAAATTCCTTCAAGGCCGTCGTTCTCGATCTCCCTTAAAAGCCCTATCCAAACAGTGGGCCATGGAAGGACCTGGTTGGGAAACTTCACTGGGTTTGCTGCAGCAAAGATGCTGCGCTCAACTTAGGAATGTTTTTCGCAGTGTCTAGGGTTTGGGGCTTCAGGGCACTATGTAGTAGGGAGGATGGAACGGGCATCCTCCCATGGACCTGACTGATGAGGCTTCCTGCAGCAAGCACGGCCCAACGTGGTGATCTGGACCAGCACGCTTACCACGCTTCAGCGTGAAGGCCGGCCGTCCGTCTGCAGTCCCGATCGAGACAGTGCCGACCGATGCTCTTGCAGGTCAGTGGGAACTGGCATCATCACTCTTTTGGAAGTTGTATCGTGCTGGTGTCCGGATCTTACCTTGGCCAGATGGAAACAATGTCCGGCAGCCCGTTTCAGAGGAGAGCAAATTGCAGGCAACCATAGTCGTTATTCCAATTCTCAAGTGAAGGTTGTTCAGCCGCCTCATGGGAACTGGCGCGCTGAGGTTGTGCCCAACATGCTGACCATTGACGCTGCTACCCGACCAATACCCAGCTGCATTCTGGGCCACATCTTTCGTCGGTATGCACCATTATGTCTGTAAATGTTACTGAAGAAAGTCGGACTGTGTTCCATTCCACACCGTATGTGTGGGTGTGCGAAGTGCACCCAGCTGTGACCTCTGACTGTCCTTAAAACTATCCGAAACTATCTTGTTTGGTGGACATAGAGCTAAGCCTTCAGGTGCACAGGCAGGTCACGATGAAGCTTACAAACGGGTGGGGATGTACGGATGTACTCCTTGCGACCGCAAAGCAATCGCGAACTTCGATTCATGCAGCTCTTTAGTGCTGGTTGAACAGTCCATTTGTGGTATGAGGGGGGCGCAGACCAACTTGCAATCCCCAGGCATGAGCTGAAGCACATTCACAGAAAAAGGAGAAACTGCGCACAGATTGGGTTGTGAGGTTGTCAAGTACACCAAAATTCTTGCATGCAATTGAGGTTATGGTTTCATTGCAGAGAAGCAGTCAGTGGCGGCAGGCGCGGAACGGCGCAGACGAGAGATGCAATCACTTGCGGGTGCGTGGTGCGAAGCTTCGGTTGGCAAAAAGGCTTAGCCCATTGAAGTTCAGGGTAATTCGGGGCGGGTCCTGTTAGTCAGACCCTCAAACATGCCAAACCCTTAAACGGGCGTCAAGGTGGGGGGAGAACCATGAGTCCCAAAGCTATAAGGGCTTCAAGTGCACCAGCCTTGGAGGCCCTGCACGCGCTGGGTGCTTTCCGGAAAGCGGCTCTTCCCGTGGGCTCCGGGGCCCTGGCGGCGCTGCGCAGCGCTTGCGAGGAGAGGCACCAGGCGAAGCCAGCACAGGCGAGGGATGGGGGCTTACTGCAGAGGAGGTTAACTTAACAGTGGTTAAGGATGGTGAAGGGTACAGGGGTTGAAGAGTTTAAGCCTCAGGGATGCAGGGTGGGACAGCTGTTAGTGCAACTGTGTATTGGCGGCTGCGCGCCATCTCCGCGAAACAGTGCCTCTGCTCTTCCTTGTTCAAATTTTTGTGTCCACTGATAGGGCCAGGACCATACTCGTTAGTGTGGTAACCCTGCTCTACATGATGCTGCTGCTGCCTCTTCCTGAGGCCCTTTCTGTGTTGCTGAAATCGATGGGAGCACGTCTGCTGGGCCTGGTGGCGAATTTCAGCACAGCTTTCTTGCAAGCGAAGCCCCTCCCCCAGTAAATAGAAACCGAGTTGGCCCCCTACTACTGCTTTTGTAAGTTACTACGTGTTCCTACAGGGTCGTCTGGTTTTGGGAGGAGCTGCTTTTTTGTCTTAATTCATAGATATAAATTAATGTATATATATATATATATATTCGGTGTTACTACCCCAAAAATATATAAATAAATATTCTTCCAAGGGCAATATAGGGATTATTGTGTTTATATTGTTTGGGATTCTTAAGCAAATAGTAGTTTAGAGGCGGATCAACCCTTCAGTGTTCCCCAAGCCCAGGACAGGGACCGATCTTGGAGCGAGGGGAGCACCTGCAACGTCCACTGTGCTCCATCCGCTGCTCGTCGTATTCTTGCACAACTGGCAGTCTTGGGGAGGATGATGGTTTTTTTGTTTTTGATATGGTATGGGCCTTTGTGTCCGGAGTTT